CTCCAAGACCCATATACGCCAAGGTAGGGAGAACTGGATACAGGCAAAGCCCATGCAGTTGAAAGTAAGGGTGTGGCCACCAGTGTGATGGCCTTAGCTGGTATCTCCATGGTGACGCCATTCCCAGCCTGTGCCACCTGCCGCCCTGGGCTGCCTCTGCTCTGCTAGGCAGAAAGGCCACAGCAACATCCAATCATTTCAACAGAAGCTCTTTGGGTTTAAGTTTCTTTTATTAGTCCCCAAAGCAGCACATGCCTGTTGCAGGAAAATGCAGAAAAGGGAAGAAAAAAATCCCACGGACTCCCCCCACCCAAACCTACCACAGTTACCAGTTTTTTTGAGACAAGGTTTCACTTTTTCACCGAGGCTGGAGTGCAGTGGTGTGATCTTGGCTCACTACAACCTCTGCCTCCTGGGTTCAAGTGATTCTCCTGCATCAGTCTCCTGAGTAGCTGGGATAATGGACGTGTGCCACCATGCCTGGCTAACTTTTTGTATTTTTAGTAGAGACGGGGTTTCATCATGTTGCCCAGGCTGGTCTCGAACTCCGGGACTCAGGCAATCCTCCTGCCTTGGCCTCCCAAGGTGCTGGGATTACAGGTGTGAGCCAGCACAACTGGCCTACAATTTTTTAAAAAGGCAAAATAAAGATGGGATCTTGCTCTGTTGCCCAGGCTGGAGTGCAATGGCACGATCATAGCTCACTATAGCCTCCAACTCCTGGGCTCAAGCCATCCTCCCACCTCAGCCTCCCCACTCGCTGGGATGACAGGCATGAGCCACTGAGCTCGGCTCCATACTCACAGTTTTATGAAGTGTGTTTTTCTGGTGGATGTAAATACATAAGTGTTTCCCCACATTATAACAAATGCCTTCTAAACAGCAGTTCAGGCACTGCAAAAATATCCCATCCTGTGGCTGTCTTGTGGATTCTTTTTTTTGTTTTGTTTTGTTTGAGATGGAGTCTCGCTCTGTCGCCCAGGCTGGAGTGCAGTGGTGTGATCTCGGCTCACTGCAAGCTCCGCCTCCCGGGTTCACACCATTCTCCCACCTCAGCCTCCTGAGTAGTTGGGACTACAGGCGCACGCCACTGCGCCCGGCTAATTTTTTTTGTATTTTTAATAGAGATGGGGTTTCACCGTGGTCTCGATCTCCTGACCTTGTGATCCGCCCGCCTCGGCCTCCCAAAGTGCTGGGATTACAGGCGTGAGCCACCGCGCCCGGCTGTCTTGTGGATTCTAAAATGAAAAACAAACAAAAAAAAATAGGCCAGGCGTGGTGCCTGGAGCCTGTAATCCCAGCGCTTTGGGAGGCCGAGGTGGGAGGATCACTTGAGGCCAGGAGTTCCAGACCAGCCTGGGCAACATAGAAAGCCTCTGTCTCATTCCCGAAAAGTAAAATAATAAACAAACAAATAAATAAATAAGTAGTATACCAGAGAGATAGCCACCTGGCCTGTATAGAGAAAGCAGCTCAGGCCTCTCCCGTGGCTGGCCCATTGCAGGCCTCAGAGAATGCAGCTCTGGCTCCAAAATTATTCCCAGCTCCCTCTTCCCATGAAAAATCCTCTCCTGAGGCTGCTGGTCACAGCCGGCATCAGCAAGAAAATGACCAAATCAGCAGTTTCAGTGGAGACAAAAGGCCTGGGTGAGAGGTCAGCTGGGAGAACACCCCCTCCGGATCCCCGCCCATCACTGGGTCCTGGGGCTAGGGCAGGGGCCAAGGCCAGGACCCCAACCCTCACATCAGACAGCATCAGATTCAGCTACTGGAAGAAGGAGAAAAACCCAAATGCAAACTTTTTTTTTTTTTTTTTTTTTTTGAGACAGAGTCTCAGTTTGTCGCCCAGGCTGGGATGCAGTGGCATAATCTGGGCTCACTGCAACCTCCGCCTCCTGGGTTCAAGCCATTCTCCTGCCACAGCCTCCTGAGTAGGAGGGATTACAGGTGCCCACCAACATGCCTGGCTAATTTTTGTATTTTTTAGTACAGACAGGGTTTTACCATGTTTGCCACCCACCTTGGCCTCCCAAAGTGCGTGAGCCACTGTGCCCAGCCCCCCAAATGCAAATTTTTTTTTTTTTTGAGACAGAGTCTCGCTCTGTCGCCCAGGCTGGAGTGCAGTGGCCGGATCTCAGCTCACTGCAAGCTCCGCCTCCCGGGTTTACGCCATTCTCCTGCCTCAGCCTCCCGAGTAGCTGGGATTACAGGCACGCACCACCACACCCAGCTAATTTTTGCATCTTCTGTAGAGATGGGGTTTCACCATGTTGGCCAGGCTGGTCTGGAACTCCTGACCTCGGGTTATCTGCCCGCCTCAGCCTCCCAAAGTCATGGGATTACAGGTGTGAGCCACCGTGCCTGGCTGGGTTATAACTGTTAATATACAGGTCATACATCCCACCCACAAGGAACAATTAGCTGTTTCCTGAACACCGCCCTCTCCACCCTAAGTCCCCTCCCTCCCTATGGGTTCATACCTCCTACAGAAGCCAAGTCTTCCTGGAGCTCACCCTGAACCTCCTCCCTTCTTAGTCTCCAAGTCTGGCTGTCCACACCAACTGAGTACCCCCTCAGGGCTGACCACATGCCCAGCCTCCATCATTACAGCATTGCTGAATGTTCACTGACCTGAATTGAAACACTCTTCCCGGCCGGGTGCGGTGGCTCATGCCTGTAATCCCAGCACTTTGGGAGGCTGAGGCAGGCGGATCACAAGGTTAGGAGATCGAGACCATCCCGGCTAACACGGTGAAACTCCATCTCTACTAAAAATACAAAAAAAAAAAAAAAAAAAAAATTAGCGGGGCATGGTGGCAGGCACCTGTAGTCCCAGCTACTTGGGAGGCTGAGGCAGGAGAATGGCATAAACCCAGGAGACGGAGGTTGCAGTGAGCCAAGATCATGCCACTGCATTCCAGCCTGGGTGACAGAGTAAGATTCCATCTCAAAAAAAAAAAAAAAAAAGAAAAGAAAAGAAAAGAAACACTCTTCCCAATTTACAGTTGGGGAAACTGACGTCAAAACGTTTAGGCCAGGCACGGTGGCTCACAGCTGTAATCCCAGCACTTTGGGAGGCTGAGGTGGGAAGATCATCTGAAACCAAGAGTTTAAGATCAACTTGGACAACATAATGAGACCCCATCTCTACAAAAAATAAAAAAAATTACCTGGGCATGGTGGTGCATGCCTGTAGTCCCAGCTACGCTGGAGGCTGAGGCAGGAGGATCATTTGAGCCTGGGAATTTGAGGCTGCAGTGAGCTATGATCACACCACTGCACTCCAGCCTGGCTGACAGAGTGAGACTCCTTCTCTAAAAAAAGGTTCACTCATTTCTCAAAGATTATGGATACCAAAACAGTTGAGGGGTGGTAATGTTAACTTAGCAAGTTCATGTATTCATTCAACAAATAATTTTTTTTTTTTTGAAACAGAGTCTCGCTCTGTCGCCCAGGCTGGAGTGCAGTGGCCGGATCTCAGCTCACTGCAAGCTCTGCCTCCCGGGTTCTCGCCATTCTCCTGCCACAGCCTCCCGAGTAGCTGGGACTACAGGCGCCCGCCACCTCGCCCGGCTAGTTTTTTGTATTTTTTTAGTAGAGACGGGGTTTCACTGTGTTAGCCAGGACAATCTCGATCTCCTGACCTCGTGATCCGCCTGTCTCGGCCTCCCAAAGTGCTGGGATTACAGGCTTGAGCCACCCCACCCAGCCCCATTCAACAAATATTACTGGATGTCTACCCTCTGCCAAGCACTGCACTGGGTCCCTTAGGGGATAGGAACAAGACCGTATGTGGCACCTCTCTCCCGCAGAACAGTGGTCTCACCATACCGACCACAACCTCCCCCAACACCCACATTCCTGCACTCAAGGGAAAAGCAGGGACATTTAAGCTCTGCTTTGAAGCAGAAGTATGATTTGTCAAACAGAGAAAGGGGGCAGGGTGGGACCGGTAGAACGGTCAGCTAGGTCAAAGGCATCCAGGCTAGCTTATCAAGGGGGGACAGAGGGAAACCAAGCCACAGAAGCCAACCGTATCCTGGGCACAGACAGGCGTCAGGGTTTGGTCACTGCTTAGTTTCTGAGCTGAAACTTGGCATCTGCCTCTCCACGCGGGAGGGGACCTGGCAGCTGTCTCAACTCCTCTGAAATAGCAGTAGAGACATCCTGTCTTGGAGAGGGTTCATTTGTATCTTGGGAGCTGATCACCATGAGATCCTTTTTTTTTTTTTCCTTTTGGGACAGTGTCCCGCTCTGTCGCCCAGACTGAAGGGCAGTGGCTTGATCATGACTCACTGCAGCCTCGACCTCCTGGGCTCCAGCGATCCTCCCACCTCAGCCTCCCCAGTAGCTGGGACCACAGGCGCGCGCCCAGCGAATTTTTGTATTTTTGGAGAGACGGAGGTCTCACTATGTTACTTTGCCCAGGTTGTTCTCGGACTCCTGGCCTCAGAGGATCTGCACGCCTTGGCTTCCCAAAGTGCTGGGATTACAGGCGTGAGCCACCTGCCAGGCTATGAGATCCTTGATAACCATGAGATCCTATGCCAAAGTTCCCCACCGACGCTGGCCCCAATACAGACCTGAAGTTTTCGCCCCAGCAGCACTGTCCCCCTCCTCATCCCTTTCTGTCCAGTGCCAACAGCATCTCACCTTTCCAAGCTGCGGTACGTCCCAATGACCCGAGACGTCTTTGCAAGCATAGCATGGCTGGAGGATGTATTTCACCAAACGTGATGTAAGCACCACCAGGTGCCCAGCGCGGAGGTGGATGTGGGCGAACCCCGGACGCCCCACCAATGACACCTGCGGCCTGGGAAGGAAAAGAGATGGAGCGGGGTAAGGGGGAAGAGGTTGCTCCGCGTTTTCCGCCCGCCCGCCTGCTTTCCGCGCGGCACTGAGGCCTGAGAACCGCGAGGCCGCCCGCGCGCGCCTGACCCGCCCACCCCCCTCCCGCACGCCCCAGGCCCCGCCCTCCCGCGCCCGCCCCAGCGCCGGCCCCTTTTGTTTCCTCCCGGAGCCGGGCTGCTGGCTCCGCTGGCTCCGCTGGCTCCGCGGGCGCTCGGCTCGGCTCGGCCGCGGGGCGCGCAGGCGGCTGCCGGGCGGCGTCGGTGCACGCCTCCCGCCTTCCCGGAGACAGGGCGCGAGACCCGGGCCCCGAGCACCGATCGCAGGGATCCCCGGCGCCAGGAGGGGGTGCAGCCGGTGGGCAGCGCCGCGCAGGGAGGGGCCGCAGCATCCTCGCCCCCCAGCGCGCCCGGGCCCGAGAAGAGGAGGCCGGGGCTCTCCGGGCCTCCCGCCGCTTAGCCTGATGCTGGAGGGACGAAGGTAGGGGCCGCCGGAGGGGCCGAGGGAGGGGGTCGCGCGGGCAACAAAGGACGGAGAGATATGGGGGGCGGCGGCCTGGCCGAAAGCGGGGCTGCCGGCCGGGAGGCATTGTCGGGGCGTGGGCAGGGGCGGGAGGGTTCGAGGCCGGCCGGTGGGCGTGGGCGGGAGCTGGCTGGGGTGTGCCCCAACTTCCCCGTTGCTTGCAGGAGAGGAGGGGGCGCTGCTTGGGGTGCCAGGGTTGGGGGCTATTCCCGGGCTGCGGGTCCCCCTGTTGAAGGCATCACCAGCCTCATCAGGGTCCCCACCCACGGACGAGGGTTTGGCCCATCTGTTGGGACGGAAGCCTGTCCCCGCTTCCAAGGGCAGAGCAAGACGGCTGAACGCGCCGCAGGGCTCTCTGGGCTCACAGAGCCTGGGGAGCACAGCCTGGTGGGCGCGGCCATGCGGCCCCCATCTCCAAACCTGGGGCCTGGGAGAACAGGGACTGCCCCCCACTCCTCCATGCTGCACCCTATGGGGTCGCCTGGCCGATGCCCTTTGCGAAACTTGGTTGAAGTGCATGACTGAGGAGGGATAGGAGGAGACTGAGGCGGGCAGCTTCCCTCAGGGGGTGCCCCCCCAAGCTGGCGCTGGTGGCTGGTGAGGCAGCAGATTTTCTGCCCTCCTCCCGGGGAGGGGCGGCGGCCGCGGAGGATGCTTGGCTGAACCTCCAGTGCCCGCCCGTTTGGACCTTTCAGGCGGAGCTTGTGCCGAGCTGGTGCCCACTGGGCACTGCCACGCAGGCCCCAGCCCCACCCTGGGAAGGACGGGCAGAGGGAGCACCTTGGGGGGAAATCACCCATCCAGCAGTGTGTCCCCCAATGTCTGAGACCCTTCCTCTCTCTTCTGGATGAGAAGTGGGGGTCTGGGATGAGGGGGGCTGCCCTCACTCTTGCAGGATGCCTGAGGGAGGTGGGTGGGGTGGCCTAGGGCTATGGGCAGAAGAGGAGGAGGAGGGTGCAGGGAGCACCACGTGTGTGCTCCAGAAGCCTCTTCCCCATCAGTTGTAAATGTAAACAATAAGCCCTTCATTCATTCAGCGGCTGTTACCTGACCCGGAACTTCTAGGGACTGGCTGATACACAGGACAGCAGCCTCGGTGCCCCCAAAAAATGCAGCCTCAGGGTTTGATGAGTGCATTAGTGGGGAAGCTGGGGGCATAGAGGGGGTCCCCTGGAGGATGGGGCAGACCAGGAAGCTTCATAGAGCATCATGCAGAAGTTTGCTGCCAGGATGCTTGAAGGGGGTTTCGTGCAGGAGAAATAGCATGGATAAGGGCTTGGAGTCAGAAAAGGAGGCTATTGGGTTAGAGAAACGGCTTAGGATTTAGGGGACTTAGACCTGTGGTTGAGGACAGGGTGCATTCCTGTCTGCAGTGCCTTGCCGAGGAATGATGGGGTTCTGGCCTCAGGACAGGTGGAGGGGGTGGAGATGGAGAGGGGCTCCAAAGGCAGAAGAGGCAGGTAGAGGTGCCTGGGAGGAGCCTGCTCCACACTCACCTGTGTGCACCTGCAAACTCCAGCCCTTGGCACTGGCACCGTGCAGGCTGGGAAGGTGGTGCCTGGAATTCTGCACTCAGAGCCCAAAATCCCAGCAGCGGGAATTTACTCCAAGGAGCACTAGTCGCTTTCCAGCATCTGCTGTCTACCTTGGCGGCGAAGAGTTCAGATGCTGGAGCTTAACAGCCCGGGTTCAAATCCCAGCTCTGCCACTGCCTAGCTATGTAACCTCGCACATTGTGTCTCTCTCTGCCTGGACATCCTCATCTGTAAAATCGGGATCCTTATGGTATCTGACTTTTAGGGTTGTTAGGAGAACTGTGTGCCCTGTGACAGAGTAGATGTCCTGTAAGTGTTGTTGCTGTTGTAGAGTGGCGTCCCAGCCTCCACTCACACACGTTTCAGGGAGAGGAGGCTCATGCCCACCCCAGGCTGTTTGTCCTTGTTGGAGCAGCCTTCCTGGTTAGCCCTGACCCGGGACCCGCTGTTCTCTGCCTCACTGCAGCCTCCTCCCTGGTCCTGCCTCCCTTGGTGATGGAAAGGCCATCTCCCCACAGCTCCAGCTGTCCCTGCTCCCCACCTGGCAGGCCTGCCCACGTGTGGTCCCCCAGTTCCCTCTTGGCCTCCCTTCCTGGCCCTGCCACCCTGACAGTTGGTCCTGCCTTCTTTTTTTTTTTTGAAATGGAGTTTTGCTCTTGTTGCCCAGGCTGGAGTGCAATGGCACGATCTCAGCTCACTGCAGCCTCTGCCTCCTGGGTTCAAGCGATTCTCCTGCCTCAGTCTCCCAAGTAGCTGGGATTACAGGCATGCGCCATCACGTCCGGCTAATTTTTTTGTAGTTTTAGTAGAGACAGGATTTCACCATGTTGGCCAGGCTGGTCTTGAACTCCTGACCTCAGGTGACCCACCTGCCTCAGGCTCCCAAAGTGCTGGTATTACAGGCGTGAGCCACTGTGCCCAGCCAGTTCTACCCTCTTGTTGCCACTTGCTCTACCTCCACTTCCATATCCAGGGGAGGGAAGCTGCGTTTGTGACCCTGTAATTCCCTGCCCATTGGTTCTTGTGAGTACTTCAGATTTTGTGCAGATTTTAAAAAAAAAGTATATATTAAGTGCTTACTTTGTGGAGAATGGTTCTGAGCTTTTTTGAGATGGAGTCTTGCTCTGTCGCCCAGGCTGGAGTACAGTGGTGCGACCTCAGCTCATTGCAACCTCTACCTCCCGGATTCAGGCAATTCTCCTGCCTCAGCCTCCCAAGTAGCTGGGACTACAGGCCCATGCCACCAAGACCGGCTAATTTTTTGTAGTTTTAGTAAAGGTGGGGTTTCCCCGTGTTGGCCAAGCTGGTCTGGAAGTCCTAACCTCAAGTGATCCACCCACCTTGGCCTCCCAAAGTGCTGGGATTACAGGCCTGAGCCACCACACCCGGCCTGGTTCTAAGCTCTTTAAATTCATTCCTTCATTTGTGGATATTTTGATAAGGCTGCCTACATTTTACAGATAAGAATATCCTGGTGCAAAGAGGTGGCTGTGTCTGCCTTTGATGCATTTGCTAAGCACCTACTGTATGCCTGGGAGGCATGCGTCCTTCAGCCACACCACTCTACCCACCCTCTTCAGGTTCATGTCCCTGAACAATTATGATCCTTCCTTCTCAGACACCCACCCCTTTTGCTCAGGTGCAAAGTCCAAATACGCTATCTACCTTTTAGGGGCCGCCCCCAGTTGTATCTTTCCACTGCAGCTCTCCCCATGCTCCCAGGCTGAGCACACCCAGACTTGCCTCACCTAAGGCTGCTGTGGCCCCTTTAATAAACTGTGAGGAGTGGGCATGGTTTGAGGAGCAGGGCTGGCTTTGAGGGTGGTGTGGGAGTGCCCTCCGATCCCATATCTTTGGAATTATTTTGTTGCAGGGAACAGGAACCTCCTTCAATTAGGTTAAGTGAAAAGGGACTTAAGAGTAGAGAACAGAGAATTTGTGCAGCAAACAATTGCAGGCGACCTGGCCCCCCGGGACCCCGGAAGCTGGCAGGCAGCTCCTCCTCTGGCTTTCCTCTCTGTGGACTGCGGTTTCATTTTCTCGGCCTCTCTCAGCGCATCCATCCTGTCTCCTTCTCCTTTCCCCTACAGGCTCCGTCTCCTTGGGTTGTGAGCGTGGCTGTGTTGAACGGGGCTGTAGCCTGAGTCCCCGGGACCTCCCAGTGGGGGTCTCCTTCATCTTGGGGTGCAGAGAGACACTGATTAGTCCAGCCTGGATATGGAAGCCCACCCGCCTCTGCTCGGCTGGTGGGGGGCAGGCCACGTGGTCTCTGGGGCTGGGGGTTGAAAACGGGGCTGGCACAACTGGGATAATTGGTTGGCTGCATTGATGATGAAAGTTGTGTGCTAGGTGAGGACCAGCGAAGCTGGGCATTCAGGGAGCTCATGAGCTGATGGAGGAGGCAGACCCATGGTCAATTAGCCATTGTGCCACCGGATGTGGGACTGATCAGTTGCAGCGTGATTTGTTGAAAGAAACCAGAGTGCACTGATCAGGCCCGTGTGGGGAGGAGAGGACAGGTGCGATGGCCAGGGCTGCCTGCCACTGGCTTCCCCTAGCCCTGCCCTGGGACAGGAGGAGGCTCTCTCCTTTCAGGACCTAGAGATGTAGGTCCGACCAGCAGTGTAGGACTTGAGCCTTTTTTTTTTTTTTTTTGAGACGGAGTTTCGCTCTTGTTGCCCAGGCTGGAGTGCAATGGTGTGATCTCGGCTCACCGCAACCTCTGCCTCCTGGGTTCAAGTAATTCTCCTGCCTCAGCCTCCTGAGTAGCTGGGATTATAGGCACGCGAAACCACGCCTGGCTAATTTTTGTATTTTTAGTAGAGACGGGGTTTCACTATGTTGGCCAGGCTGGTCTCGAGCCCCTGACCTCAAGTGATCTGCCCGCCTCGGCCTCCCGAAGTGCTGGGATGACAGGCGTGAGCCACCGTGCCCAGCCAGACCCGAGCTTTTGAGCCTCCTGACCTGGCTCTTCTCACTGGGCTGCAAGGCTAGTCACGACAGAACCAGTAATACAAAACTCGTGTTTGCAGAGGAAAATGCTTCAAAATGTTAATGAAACGTTTCCCTTCTGAGTAGAAGGCAAAACAGGCCAGATGGCTTTTATTAACGAGGCCTGAATTTAGGACCTTCTCTGCTTAACGGCTTCTGTCTTGACGAAGTGTTTCTTGCTCCATGGCTGGGATCATACCTTCCACTCTAGCCTGAGCCCTGAGCGACACCCGCTCCCGATTCATTTCCCTCCTTTGCCTTTTCCGCCCCTTGGGATGAGAGGGTGGAATTTCCAGCTCACCAGGAGAAGGGCCTGGTTTTTCAGCATTGCCCCCACCACCCTGAGGTCTCAAGCTGGTCTGCCCTTGCCTGCAGCTAAACCTAGCTGATTCTGGCCCAGCTCCTTTTGGGGGTGCTCTAGCCCCTGCCCAC